TACATCTTCGCGGCACCCGGATGAATAGAATACTGCGAGCTATGAGCCTCCTCCAGAATCAACTCTCTAAGCCCATCCATATTGGGACACAAATCCGGCCATGCATCCTCAATACCCTATCATTACCGATGGTCACATCTTTGGAATTATCATGATGAACTATGTCCTTAAGGACAAGGAAATGCGGATCATCATACTGACGCTCTCTGATGCGATCATATAAGGAAGACCGAGAAACCACACAAGCCAACACCCGACTGAGATCCGAAATATCTAATCTCACAAACCGATTGGCCAAGGCCTGAACATCAACTGCAAGGGGTCTCTCCCCAACTAGAATATATGCCAAACTCCCCATGCACACTGCCTTTCGGCTCAAAGCATCGGCCAATTGGCCTTTCCCGGATGATACAATATGGTGATATCATAATCCTTAAGAAACTCTAACCATCTCCGCTGCCTCAAATTAATATCCTTTTGTTTGAACAAATGTTGAAGACTGCGATGTTCAGTGAATACCTCACAAGATACGCCATACAAGTAATGCCTCCAAATCTTCAATGCATGAACTATGGCAGCTAACTCCAAATTATGAACGGGGTAGTTCTTCTCATGGGGCTTCAATTGACGAGAAGCATAAGCTATAACTCTACTCTCCTACATCAATACACAACCAATCCCAACTCTCAAAGCATCACAATATACGGTATATGAACCTGAAGCTGATGGCAAAACCAATACTGGAGTTGTGGTCAAAGCTGTCTTGAGCTTCTGAAAGCTCTCCTCACACTCGTCCGACCTTACAAATGGAGCACCCTTCTGAGTCAACTTGGTCAAGGGCGATGCAATGGATGAGAATCCCTGAACAAACCGGCGATAATAGCCTGCCAATCCAAGAAAGCTACAAATCTCCGTGGCTGAGGACGGTCTAGGACAACTCTGAACCGCCTCTATCTTCTTCGGATCAACCTTAATACCCTCGTTGGACACCACGTGTCCCAAGAAAGCCACTGAACTGAGCAAAAACTTACACTTGGAGAATTTTGCATAAAGCTTCTCCTCCCTCAATCTCTGCAATATAACTCGTAAATGCTCCGCGTGCTCCTCTTGACTACGCGAGTACACCAGAATATCATCAATGAATACAATAACGAACGAATCCAGATAAGGCCGAAATACACTGTTCATCAAATGCATGAACGCTGCTGGGGCATTGGTCATCCCGAAAGACATAACAAGAAACTCATAATGACCATATCTGGTCCTGAAACTAGTCTTAAGAATATCTGAATCCCTGATCTTCAACTGGTGATAGCCCGAACGGAGATCAATCTTGGAGAACGCCCTAGCTCCCTGAAGCTGGTCAAATAAATCATCAATGCGAGGCAAAGGATACTTGTTCTTAATTGTTACCTTGTTCAATTGCCTATAATCGATGCACATTCTCATTGTGCCATCCTTCTTTTTCACAAACAGAACCGGCACACCCCAAGGTGACACAGTAGGCCGAATGAACCCCTGATCTAGGAATTCCTGAAGCTGCTCCTTCAATTCTTTCAACTCTTTTGGTGCCATATGATACGGCGGAATAGAAATGGGCTGAGTGCCCGACACCAGATCAATACCAAAATCAATATCCATGTCCGGTGGCATGCTCGACAGGTCTGCAGGAAAAACATGGGGAAAATCCCCCACAACTGGAACATAATCAATGCTAGGAGTCTCAGCTCCAACATCTCTCACAAACGCTAGATATGAAAGGCAACCCTTTCCAACCATACGTTGGGCCTTCAAGAAAAAGATCACTCTACTAGGAAGATAATCAGTCATACCACGCCACTCGATCCGCGGTACACCCAGCATAGCCAAAGTGACTGTCTTAGCATGACAATCTAGAATAGCACGACACAGAGATAACCAATCCATTCCCAAAATGACATCAAAATCCACCATGCTCAATATCAATAGGTCTACTCGGGTCTCCAAACCCCCAATAGTTACCACACATGACCGGTACACATGGTCTACAACAACAGTATCGCCCACCGGGGTGGACACATGAATAGGTAAAGCAAGAAACTCCCGGGGCATACCCAAATAATGAGCAAAATATGAGGACACATAGGAATATGTGGAACCAGGATCAAATAATACAGAGGCATCTCTGTGGCAGACTGAAACAATACCTGTAATGACAGCATCTGAAGCAATGGCATTTGTCCTGCCTGGAATAGCATAGAAACGAGCCTAGCCACCGCCTGATCGACCTCCCCCTCTGGGGCGACCCCTGGCTGCCTGACCTCCACCCCTAGCTGGCTGGGCGGGTGATGAAGTAATTGGAGCAGAAGTCGAGGGCTGACCCCTCTACTGGGATGAACTAGCAATGCGACGAGGACACTGCCTCCACACATGCCCAAACTCTCCATACTCAAAACAACTCCCAGGTGCTGGAGAAGGGGACTGAAGGGAACCCCTCGCACCGGAGTGACCAGCTGATGCACTCGGCATAGAAGAACCCTGAGCTGACGGGGCACGAGATGACTCTGGGCTGGAAGGGCGCTGAGTGATGACTGACCCTGCTGAGTCCCATGATAACCACAACCTGAAGATGCCCCGCGATACTCTGGACGGGCCGACTGAGCAGGCCTGAAAGGATGACCTCTACCATGCTGGAATTGACCCCTCAAAGGAGAACCACTGTAACTGCCAGATCCTCGAGGCCTCTTGGCCTCCCTCTCCTCTCGATCCTGACGGCGAACCGTCTCAATCTCGCGAGCGATATCCACCACCTCACGTAGCACCCAATATTTTCTCCCTGGTTATAAGAATAAGAAGATGGTAGTTAAGGCCATCAACAAATCTCCCGATCCTCTCGCGATCTATCGGAACCATCCAGACGGCACGACAAGCCAACTCACAAAACCTTGACTCATACTGTGACACAGTCATATCCCCCTACTTCAGCCACTCAAACTGTCTATGCAACACCTCTCTACGGTACTGCCGTACATACTTGTCCAAGAAAGAGTGGAGAACTCCTACACTTAATTTTCGTTTAGATGAACTCCTACTTAATTTTCGTTTAGATGAAACTCAGTTCTAAACCATGGATGTTCAAATTCAATTATTATGTTTTGAACAGAAAAAGTGAGTGAAAATCTAGGGTTTTAAGTGCAAAATTTATTCTCTACTCTTGAGTTTTCTTCTTCGATTTTCTGTTCGCATTTCAAATTTTAGAAAGAAAAAAAATACAAAAAGAGATGTACAAAGATATTAAGTTTTCTTCTCTGATTTTCGGCTATTACTCCTCTCATTTTGGAGTTAAGTTTCTTTTATATACATAGGTATAAAACAAAAAAAAATTATTTTAGTTTCTGCCATGTTGTTCTTCATTCATGGATCTTGCTTGAGCTTGGTTGGTGTTTCACGGGTTCGGACGTGATTGTTCGAGAACGAAGTTCACGATTCCGAGTTCAGTTAGTCGCTTTTTTCCTCGCTTGAATTTTGGAGTCAAAATATGTGTAGTTGTTGATTCTTCAATTTCTATTAAGGAAAGTTTTGGCTTAACAGGTCAATTTCTATCACTCCCTTTCTATTTTAACTAACTAATTGTGAATCGAACTTCAAAATGAGCCGTTTAAGGATAAGCCGAGTTTGGGGTATAAATTGTTTAGTTAGATAATTGATTTCTTTACGAATCCATTCATTTAAAATTAAGTAAAGCTTTCTTGTTGACTCTATGGATTTGTTTTAGAGTTGCCCTTTAAGAGAATATCTTGATAACGAATTAGTTGGAAAGTCTTTCTTCACTAAAACAGTATGTTGTTGGATTTCGCTTTTGATTAGAGCCGTATTGGGTGCTTCTGGTTTGGTACTGAATTAACATTTTGTTACCTAGTTCAAGGAGGTGAATTTCTGTGGATTAACTGCTGGTTCTAATTCCTAACAGTTCAATGATTGTTGATGCTGCTCTGTAGCTACGAACATTAATATAATATATTTATAGTAGGTGCTAGTTTAAATATGTATTCTCTGTTTGCTAAATCCAAATGCTAGTGTAGTAACCTGTGAACTCACAACTTAACTGGGTCAAGTATTTCCTTATCTTCCCTGCTAGATTTCTTCCACCTCTAAATTTGGAGTTGTGCAATCATTGTGAGCTTATCATGCTTTAGTCTCTTCATTCGCTGTACTCATGTGTTTCATGTCAGTTAAATGTCTTTATATGCCCCTACCTAAGAATTTTATGTCCTTTATGCTGGTAGTGTTAATAGCAAAATAAGAACTTGTGAAAATTAATTGTGGAATTGGTATTCTTTTACTGTTTCAGTGATTTCTCTGTTTAAAGATATTGATTATTGATTTTTTCAAAAGGTAGTGTCTCAAGTATTCTGGATTTTCTTCTTAGAATTACATGTTTGTCAAATATACAGAGGCTTCCTTTTTATGATTTGGGTTAACAAGAGTCCATATCATTTGTGTTAAGTATACGACATAAATAACTGTACCAATTGTTGATATTAGTTATGTTATATATTTTGTTTGAATGTAATATATTTCTTGCAATTTCTTGTGGTTTTGAATGAGGCAGTTTTGATGTGCTGCGTGACTCGCTGGGCTTGGTGCAAACTGAGTTTCCACACAATGTATATTGTGTAGCAGGAACACAAGTAAGCTCTTTTTTATTGCTTCAGTTGTTTTTGGATAGAAATATCATGAATGCTGATTATTTTAAGTCAAGAGCCGCTGCCATTTAGATTTCTTATAATATGAGAAGGAGGATCAGTTCTATACGTTGTAGCAACCTTTTTTTTATAAGCAAAAGTAATTACTAATTTTTTGTACATTGCAGAAATTCCTTTTGTTTTAATTGCTGTCTTCCACTCATTTTTCAGATTTTTTTGTAACCAAGTTGTAGTTAGTTATACGACATATTTGCTTACTAATGTCAGCCTTATAAAGAAAACTTAATTGTTAACTAATGTCACTGTTTCTTCGTGTATAGTATAGAATTCCTCTTTCAATTAGTAGGGAAAATGAAAGTGAAAACCCAAAATTTGCTCTCACCATTTGAGTTAGAGTAGATTAAAGCTCTTGAAACATGCTTTTCTCATTCTTACAGGCAGAGAAAAGTTCTTGGAATTCGATTGGAATTTTTAAGTTATCTAATATATCTGGAAAAAGGCGGGACTTGGTGCCAGACAAGAAAGGTGATGAAACTGATATGGCTTCCTTTTCTTCTTCAATTATCAAGAGTACTAATGTTTGCAAAATAAAATTGATGAACTGAGAGTTCTTCTAGAGGTAATTTAGTATGTTAAGTGTATTGCTCGTTGAAGTTTCTTTAAGTTTGTACTTAAGACTAAGTTTGTGGTTATTTTGATCCGGTATGTGTGTGCACTTAAGATCTTGTTATTTCTCTGTATGAATAAATGTCTCCCTTTCACATTTCATCAAGTCCTAGTTTTCTGATTTATCTAACTTCTACTCTCACCATTGCATATGCATGGTCATTAAGTGGCGATAAGCAGGATTATCAATAAACAGAAGTCATAAAAAATAGAAAGCTACTATCCATGATCAAAGTTAAACTGGTCCTTCTTAGTTCTAATTCTGAAGTTTGGATATAGATCTTGATCATTCTTCAATATGGCTTTGGCTTGCCTTGGCAACGAAATAACCTCAATGAAGAATATCTCTTGTTTCTCCTTTACTCCAATATTAGCTAGAGCATCTGCTACACAATTGTCTTCCCTGTAGAAAAATCTTATATGAAATCAGCCTCTGGTAAGCAATTGAGTGATCTGCTCTCTGACTGGCCACAAAACCTTGGTGTCTCCTTTAATAAAATTCACTAGAATCATATAGTCTGTCTCTATTATCACAGTCATCATCCGGTTCGTCGTGGGTGACACACCATTGCAGTCCTTTTTTTAGCGAATTCACTAGGCGATGTGCCTAGCGCTAGTTTTTATATATATAGAAAATAAAAAAAAATCAAAATATATTGTCAAGAGATCTTAAATGATGAAAGAAATAAAACTTGACAATTACATGAATCCTATTACCAGTGTTGAGCTGTGAACTCGTCACTGGTATCACAAATTGCATAATAAAAAGACTAAGAAAATGAATTATAAAAACTAGCCATTGAAAAATTACAGTCCAACTGCGCTGATTGCATATATAGCCCCCAATTCCTTGCATATTTAGCACTGCCCGTATTGCATTGATATGAAGCTCCATTTTATGATCTCGTGATACCATTTCTATTGACTTACCATTCCAATTATCCAATATGTCCTCCCAGTAACAATAGCATGTATTCCAATGATCCAAGCGGCTTATATTGTTACCAAGAAGTACTGCCCTTAACTGTTGACTGACGCTGTCTTTGCCTTCACTTTTGCTTGATATCAATCTGCATTCTATTGATATTCTTGCATATAATCCCTCCTGGATTGTCATATTATTACATCGCAATGAGATATACGCCCAGTTTGTATCTAATGCATCCAAAATATGTTGCCAAAATTGCCATGTCGCATGTCCTGTCCAAAGTTGCACCACCTTGCTGTTTTTGTGCCCAAAATCGCGTGTATTCCTTTTGCATTTTCTTGATATCTTTGCATGATTTGCCAGCTGGGTTGGTAGATTATTTTGCTGCACTGTGATTTTTCAACGTGCAATATTTATTTTATCAAGAGACCATCGCCAACTCCAGTAGTATGCATGATTATTTATGTGAAAAAAATGGGCATCAGAACTGCCCCTTCTTATCCTCTCTGTTATGTTTGTGCTCATCCATGATTCCCCCTCAATGGACCGAGTACCTAGTACTAATACCACCAGGTGAAGATTCCTCATGAGATAAGGCATAGCCACAGTAACGTCCCCTGCAAAAAAGAAAACTTCGTTAGTGAAAATTTTCATCACCTTGTTCTCCTCCCTAAGGACTTGAGCATGATAGATGACTGTGACATTTCCTTCAGAAACACATTGTTCTTCCTTGTATATTGCCTGGCCCCCGATATGATTTGTTGAAGTTGTAGACTGGAACGTGATTACGATCCACAAACCCCAAATTCCACAAACCCCAAATTCCACGTGCATGCTTAACAGTTTCCACTATACACCAGTTGTGTATACAGCTGAAGAAAAATATTTCAATGAATGCATGTATTTTCCAGTGCTGATTAGAGTGAACTCTGATGTATTCCAGTTCATGTGCCTTTGAGTTGTCTATATGTATTTGTATCTCCTCCCATGAAGCCCCATTTGATCCTAGGATTATTTGGTAATAGCACCTGCATACCACAGAAAATCTGATCAGCAGTGTGCTCCTTCCTTTCCTTGCTGCTATGCTTGTGCTCATCCATGATTTCCCTTCAGTGGAATGAGTACAATGTGCTAATACCACCATTTGAAGGTTCGTCAATAGATGAGGCATAGCCACAGTAATGTTCCCTGCAAAATAGATGAGGCATTGCAATCCTTATAGCATAGCTGGTTAAATTTTTATTTTTTCATCTCTTTTGATACTCACAGGTGGTTAAACTTTTATTTTCTAGTTTACTAGATAAGTTTCATGTTTTTTTGATACTTTTGAACATTGTAGAACAAATTTGACAGTGATGACATAAATGATCAATGAGATCATGTCTTGAAACATATGAGAAAATTATGGAACAATTGGAGAGGATTGTTGCGCAAGGATGTTAAGTCGAAGCCATTTCGTGATGCTCTAAAAGATGTGCCAAATGAGGTAGACAAGAGTGATTGGGAATGGTTTGTCAAGGAGCAATTTTTTAACTGAAATTTTTTAGGTATGATATCGTAGCTATTTATTAACATCTTGTAATATTAAGTGGCTGGCCATAATTTTTCAATGTATTTTCAATTTAGGAAAAAAGTGCAAGAAATTCAGTCAATAGGTCTAAGTTGAGTATGTCTCATCGTACGGGTAGGAAGCCAATTAGAGAGATCATTTATGAATTGGTGAGTAATCCTCCAGATGTGGCAACTATATTTTTTGAAACTCGTAAGAAGGACAACAAGTTTGTTGAACCTGAAACCAATGAAAAATATGTATATTTATTGATAATTTTTATTTTACATCATTAGTTTACGTTGTTGCAGTATTTAATTAAATTATCTTTCATTTTATAGGTTAAAATCCAAGAAGTGGTGCAATCTGAATCATCTCTTACAAACATTCAGGTTGTAGAGAGGTGCTTTGAACCTCAATGCAAGAGTTATGTAGTTGGATTAGGTGCTGGGATAACCGCTAAGGAGTTGAAAGGTGGTAACTCCTCGAAAACTGCATTACTAGAGATGTCGAATGCTACTGAAAAAGAAAACGAATCACTAAAAGGACGCATGGAAGGGCTAGAGAGTAAATATGATGTGTTAGAGAGTAAATATGATGTGTTAGAGAGTAAATATGCACAGCTTGCAAGTGTTGTATTTGATCAGACTTCATCACCATCTTCAATTGAGCAATATATTGAAGCATTTAACAGGTTAGTAGATTGAAGTCCTATTGTATTCTGTGATAAAATTATTGCAATGTTCATGTGAAATTTTCTTCTTATGTTGTTCAGGTTTATGAATAAACAAATTTATAGTCATTGAAACAAGTGAATTTAAGTAAGTCACATACAATTACATACTTTTCCCCTAAACTTCCATAACAATCTGTTTCCCATTAAGTACTTTATTTTTATCCTTTGTTTAGTGATAAACCCATGTTATAAAAATCTTAGAGCCGCGTCCGCCTCTAGTCGAGGTGCGCGCTAGCTTAACCTTGCATGCACTACAATTTTAAAGAAATGTTAGTTTCAGCCAGCTTTATTACATGACTTTGATATTGTTCTAACGCTATAAACTGCTGCATAAAGTGGTATAAATCTTGCCATATTTTCATGTCCAAGACTCTGTGCCTTGATGCGGTCCTATGAAAAGGTACGGACCGTTGGGAGATGAAGTGGTACAGTTGCAGTCAAGTTCCAATTGTACAAAAATGACCCGAACTGAAACTCTGGATTGTCTAATCCTTCTTTTTCGTTTTTTCTCTACATCAATAAATTTCATGCATCCTTTATTCTTCTGGAAATTCGTTGATAAAGTAGCCAAAAAAAGAATGACTTTTTGAAAATCCTAGCTTTAATTAGGACTTGAAAATGACAGACGAAAATAAGTGGATATTGGGTATGATGATGAAAATGTTGATAGGAAGTATATATGATTGTCACCAAGTACATGTGGAGTTCCAATCACACTTGTCAATATCGTACTTTAGTCACAGCTTTAGTATCATCCTTTTGATGGAAAAGCTTTAGTGTCCATATTTTTTGAAGTGGAGGATTCCTTTACATTAGTTGCTCACATTCTGTAAAGTGTGGTTCCAAGAACCGAAATAAAAAAAGAATAAAATCATCACTAAAGTAATTTAGGAAACTACTAAGTTGCAAAAGGAACAACATGGTTGTACCTCGTACACTATCTTGAAGAAGTATAGATTAGTCATCTGGTTACTACCTTCTGCAAGAAAACATAAAAACAATTTTATATATAATACCTTCTGCAAGAAAACATAAAAACAATTTTATATATAATAGAAATTCATCAATTCAGCATCATTGGCATATGGAAAAGATCATTCCACTAATAGAGATGGAGTTAATACAACTGTAGGATGTCTTATGAAATCTAAATGTGTTGATATTGTTGTTGCTGCATCAAAAATAGCTTTTTTCATGTGCCCATTAAAAAGTTTAATTAGGAAAATTAACTCATTTTTTGTATCTCAATCGCCTATCCCCGTGATCTGTAGAATTGCAAGAAGCTGGATACAGGATTTGCTTTCCAAAAAGTGTCGTCGTGCAGGTTTTAATGTAATAGGATTTAGTGATGTAAAATTATATGTCATTAGTCAGTCTTATGATCATTGTACACAAACAGAGAAAATTTAATGAAGCCTTTCAATGAAGCCTTTAATGGAATTATTAAGTTGTCATGCATTTGTTATGTTAACAGATCTGATTTTTCTTTATTAACTGGCATACATTTGCTCTTTCTTTTTTAGTTATTTATTCTTTGTTACTAAACTAGCATACATTTGTTATGTTAACAGATCAAATATTTGAAGTCCGAAGAACCTATCCTTGAAGAAAGTGTTAGCAAGGTGAAGTACAAGAGATTTATATTTTGTTAGGGATGATTTAAAGACACTGTACATATGATGCAATTTTATGCTTCTCTTTTAAGAATTATAAAAAATGATGTCATACAATTTAGATTGGTTTTTGGTAAATATGATACTTTAGTTCTTGTATTAACAAAGATATCAAGTATTTGGTTATTTTTGAGTGTTGTTGGGTGTGTATGAAAGCATATAAATTTTCGTAATTATATTTACTATAATTTTACATTAGATAAGGAAGATGTGGTCAATCAAAACTCTTTAACTATAAGTTTCTCAAACAGATAAATGGACATTAACGAAGGGCAGTTTGGTTCTTAAAAGTAGTTATACCTCTAACGAAGGGAATATCAGTCGCTAAAGCACTTGTAATGATTGAATTAGTTGTTGTCATTAAAGACTTTTAACGACTAGATAACAAATTAGTGAAGGGAAAATCCGGTCGTTAAAAGGGATGTATAACGACCGGAAAATTATGTCGCCACTAAAGGATATTTTACGACCGGCCTGTAATTCGGTCGTTAACTTTTAACGTCTGGGCTTTTAACGACCGGTGACGACCGGATTTTTTTTGTCCGTTAACAACCTATAACGATCGGATTTGGATTTTTAACGACCAAATTTTCCCTCGCTAAAGGCCTATTTTCTTGTAGTAAGCATCACTGCATTAGTCTCCGCTCCAATTGGTTTGACATAACTCCCTACCTCTAACTCAGACTGTGTCAAAAAACTTGGTACATACACAAAGAGAAGAATTCACCGACTCTAATGAACAGCAGACAGATCACAGACATGTTACATGCAAAATCCATCAAGTCGTGGCAGCTGCAGGCGGCCACCACCGGTGGTTGATCATGGAAATTATGAGGAGAACTAGGAGGAGAATGCTGATGTTAAGATAACCTTGATTTAGAAACTTTTCCAACCATGCTAACAGTGCAACATGTCCTATAGTGTCAGCCTTATGTGATATGCTTTGCTCTTTTAGCATTTACTATGTATATATTGACCTTATAGAAACATAATAAATGTCATGCTCATGCAAGGAAGATGCAACAAAATTAGCTGCCGCAAAGAAAAAACATTAATTTCAATCGATTTGTCACAAATTGTGTGCTATCTTGTGTTAATCACTTAACACAACTGAGTACTTAACAAACAAATGATAATTAAAGGAAGATAATTCATTTTATTGCCACAGTTCACACCCCACAGCCTAGATTAGCAGACAACTTATAGGGCTTTAAGAACTAGAATATAGATGGCAAAAGCAGCTTCAAAAAGTTTGAAGTTGGTACTATTCTCTCAAAGAAGAGACTCATTTTGTTTTCCTTTTCTTTCAGGGGGTGGGGTGCAGGGGGGATGAGAAGCAGCTGTTAAAATACGAATAGGTCATCTCATTAACATGGTTTTTGATATGGTTTGAGAACAAGGATAGCTAATACGTCACCATGCGACCAAAGTAACTGACAATTCTTATGCAAAATACCATGTAAGAGTTTCCCTTGCGAACCTGTATTAATTATGAATGTGGAAAAACATTTTGAAATGCCAAAGAGAAGGCAGATCAATAACCTTCCATTTATCTTCTACAAGAAAATGCCAGCTGGAAAGAGCTTATGTCATGCATGCAGCAAGCTAGATTCTTTTAATTTCATGGTTTTTGCATGCAGCCTTTCCATGAATGCAGGATTTGCTTTGAGCCTCTGCTTCACATATGAAGTTCGAACATCCTCTACCATTTTGTTAGCCTTTCCAGCCTCTTCAATGAGACCAAATAGAGTCCTTAGGCAGTCCTTTCTATTCTCCTCACGGTGTTCAAATCTGAGGAAAAAGAAACATTTGATTCATGGTAAGTTTCACAAACTTCAAATGGGCGTATAAAGGAGCACCAATAAGCAGCAGTCAAATACTTCCTTAAGTAACTGTTTCAACAGATAGTTACACAATAATACTCAGTTGGAAGCTAAGCCTAAACATACAACAAACCCATAACAAGATCAGACACTAGTAATCTAGATGCATCTACAATGTGACTTTACCTTTCACTGGTTATGGTAAGCTCGTCTCTCCCAGGATGATAGCGGTTTTCAACCAATTCTCTTAAGTGACGAAATTGATGCTTTGACAAACCCAACTCCTTCACCGTAACAGCCAATTTGACTTTCCTATTTTTTGGATGCCATGCATCACCACCAGGAGCAAAGACCACCCTTGTTTGCCATCTAAGAACTGGCCCTTCACCTGGCGGGTCATACAAATTCTTATTCTTATCTGGCAAAGTAGTCTCGTCAAACTGTGGAGCATCCTTCTCCATCAGTTTTGCGCACTCCACGACCACCCCATCCTCGAACTCCTTGAACAATGCATAGCCTTCTTCAAGGGTAATCTCACCTTTTTCAACCCTTTCACCTATCTCATCAAACTTAACTTCCACCTTCTTCTTAATTTCGTCAGGGTAAAATAAAACATCCAATGAGTCAAGGAATCCAAATACAAAATAGATTGGGATGTCAAATAGATCAACAAAAACTGACTCTACAATCTGTAAAAGACAAGTTCAGGTATTGTCCTAAAGAGACAACATTAGGTGAAACTGAAATAATATAAAGGTTGCAACTTCATACAAGCTATCAAAAAATTAGGAAGCAAGGATATATATATAGCTGACTGAAGAGTTAAAGAATTTTGTTATGAAGGTAACATGTAATTTGCTCAATCAAGAAATTTTAATTTACTTTTTCATTGTTCTACCACACCTCTTTGAGATTTAACCATTCTTTTCTTAACTACACCAATTTCATAAGCCTAGTGGGAAAAAATTAGAAAACGAAAATTTATATAACTATAAAACTTACTGTGGAAATCTTACCCTGGGCCCATCAAAGTTTCGGCATTATCAGTAGGATAGCTGAATTGGAGCATAGATATTATTTTTAATTGTTAACTGGAGCAAGGAAATTATGCACCTGCCTAATATGAAAAACTTTTCAAGAAGTCAATAGAGCATTCAAAAGTAGTACCAGGTAGAATTTTATCCCAGCTAAGCATCTCCTGCAAAATTTCCACACACTCCTTCGTATCCCTAAGATACCCATGCTCGTAGCCTCTTTTATCATATCATCCCACTTTCTGTCACCCATGTTGAAGAATTGATCAGACGCCATTCTCTTTTTCACTAAATCCGTTGTGTCATACAAATCTTCAATCTCTTCATCAGTGGAGTGAGCGTCCTCGAAATCCGATTCAATCTCTTGGTCATTTACATCATCCAGGGTTTCATTTGAAGCTCCTCCATTAACTCATCATCTGTATGCTCATGCTTTCTCGTTAATTTCCTCTTTAAAATTGCTTCAAGAATTGACGGAGGCGCCTCTTCATTGCCTTTGTTGAAGTACTCCTCAATCCGCGTCTTCAACTCTACAGCAGATATAACAAACGAGATTACTTAATATGAAAACAAAGATACCGATTTAAATTTAAAATATATAATCCCCGATCTTATACAACAAAGTACTCCTAAAGGAATATCCATTGGACAGAACGCCATGAAAGTTGAAAAACAACTTTTTTTTTCTGGGACATTGCAATTGGAATAACAAACATAGAGACGATAATAAACTAGAACCCAGAATTCTATCCTTTAAACTGTCTCCAATATCTTATTGTCAGCAATCAGAATCAATTATTTTCTTTTTTTCAATAACAGCAGCTTACGCATCTCAACTATTCCACCAAGTACCTATTACCTCCCACCAACACTTATCGGGTAACTAATCATCAATCCTAGCAAGAGAGATCCATTAAATTACTGATTAACCAGAAAAATCACTCTTTTTAAAAAATTTAACCAGCAAAATCGCTAAATAATGCAGTTTCCTAGTATACTACATGCATCATAGACCAAAAACTAATTTCGTCCATACTTTTTTCAGCGAGGAAATTAACCCCACAACCCCATTTTCTCATATTTCAGAAATTACCGCTGAACCCCCAAAAAAATATGAAGATCAGAAAATACAAGGTTTCTCACCTTTGTTGTTGATATCTTCAACATTGAGAGAGACCTCTTTCTTTGTGGATTCAACCAAGCTAGTCTCGGGCTGAGGGCTTGGTTCAGATGAGTTCTGATTCGATGAATCATTTTCTGATGATGAGAAGAATCTAAACTTTGAGGGGGAAATGAGAAATAACTGGGGAGTGTATGATTCTAGCTGCTACTGTTGATATAATTCAGATTTGATTTGAAGTTATGAGAGAGATGGAAGTTGCGAGAGCACAGAGAAAGAGCTCGTCTCATGGCTTTAGGGTTTAGCGTCTCTCTCTAAGTTTCAGCTTTTTCTCGGGTTTTAGGAGGGGTTTTTGTTCTTCACCTTTTCCGAATTTCCTCACATCTAACAGTTTCGTCTCTCGTTTGGTTCTTCAGCAAAAATGAAGAATTTCAGTGAAGGCCATTTGGATAAAAGCCCAATCTGATTGCAACGGAGCTTTTGCATCTATACCCGATTTTGGGGTTACAATTGGAGCTATACCCATTTTGTAAAAAATTTGCAAGCCTAATCATTTTACGATCAACTTCAAACTTATCGAGTCTAAGTATAATTCACTTAAGGCCAACTAAATCTAAAGTTAATTTTTGCACTTAAGATGTACTTAAGGCCAAATAAGTATGAAGTGCAACAAATATTTTTATGCACTTAAGGTCAGAGAGGTCTGAAGTAAAAAAATTGCACGTAAGATGTACTTAATGTCAAATAAGTCTGAACTGAAAAAATTGCACTTCAAATTCACTTAAGGTCAGGTAGTTCTGAAATGCAACCAATGATTGTATAAAATATTATATAAGAGAAAGTAATTACCTTGTGATTTGTCCTCTACCTGACAGGAAGCCAAAGATCAAAAAATGCATTTTGTTCTTGTTTTACTAGAATGCCATCTTTAGCTTCTTAGATAACTACTTTTCTTAGAATACTAAAAACACTAATAGAATGAGGCTTTCATTTGGGCATGTCCCCTTGTTAATTTGTACAGAGATGCTCAATATAATCAACATATGTATGGAAAGAACTTTCGATGTTCTACTCTAGTAAATATGCCAATGCCATAATGTGGTTTAACTTAATTCATAGCACTGCCCAGGGTCTTATATGGTGTCAGGGACTATTTGAATTTACTTCCAGCAACAATTAAAACGCTTTCGCAGATACTATATCCTGAACTTTGACGTATCTTTTAAGTTGTCAAGTTGCACCTACACAATTAACAGATACATGATTTTGCCTTTGCTTTGTTTCTATGCTGGCACTTAATTCACTTCCATTATTTTTGCAGTAGATGATTTTAGCTTTTTGTCTTTACTTTGTATCAGTTTTCAGATGAAGCCTTTTAAAGAAAAAATAAATGTAAATATTTCTTCCAAGCAGTAAGCTTATGCTTTTACGATTGATGGAAGGATGCATGATGCATGATGCTGATGTTTCAACACTTAGACAAACTCTAATCGCATATGTTTTGGAACTAGAAGGAACTTGTAATATTGCACTATGAGGTGCTTGGTTTCTGCCCTCCATGCCATGAACATGAATAATGTATATGATGTGACATTTTATGTGGTTGAGTTCTTATAGTATCATTGAGGATTCAAGTATAGTGATTTGGTCCCATATAGACATTTTATTTGTGACATCCAAAACCTTATGAGAATTTTGTAGGAACAACTAGAGTAAATAGTTAGGTCGGGCACATGCCATCTAGTTTAAAAATAGACCAGAGTCTTTATACTATCCAAGTATAATTTGCTTTCCACTCAACAAGCAACAAGCGCACCCAACTTAGGCCCGTTTTGGCCATGAGTTTTGCCAAAATAAATTTGGGATTTATTTTCAAAACTCATGTTTGACCATAAATTTTTCCCACATTTTGGCCAAATTCCAAATCCTAAATCCCATGATTTTGGGCCAAAATCCTAAAACTTGGAATTATATATGTGTTTTTCCAAAATAAAGTTGAAAAATATATTTTGAAAACATATGTCCAAACACATTTTCATCTTCAAACCAAACTTCACCCAAATCAGATTTTTCAAAATAAATTTGAGATCTATGGCCAAACGCTAGCTTAATTTCAAGAATAGTTAACCCAATAACCTTCATCTAGACTGTAGAATGTGAATGGTTATTTGAAAAGATTGCAATCCTCTTTCACATAACTTTCTTTCTAACTGCTAAAAAGTAGGACTAATGACTATGTTGCATTTTCCTAAATTATTGTAAGTTAACATTGGTATAAACATCCGTGCGGGTAAGTATGATAGACGCAAAGCTCCAAAAGTATTTCAATTTCTATCATTAGCCCAAATGGACTAATGAAAAAAA